CAGTAAACAGGAAATTAGAATTGACTCAATGGTTTAATAACAGCCAAGCCCTTGCTGCCCACTAGACACCATTTTGTTCCGACCACATCCATTTTCCTGGTTTTCACCCAGGAAACGAGCGTGGGATTATTCCCTAAAACTGAATCATCATTCTGCGTTCCAACCCTGGCTCTGTGCAATGTATAAAGTGTATGCTTAAATGTAGCCTATGCACCGTTATGATTTGATAATTAAACATCGTTAACAACACCTCCACAATCTAAGATATAAGGATTCAAATGTATTTCTAAAGGCACTTGAATCAGTCAGGAAACATTCCCTAAATGGCGTCCGACCATTTGCATTTAATATTGCAACTGCTTGTTCTCATATTGCTCAGTCATTTCCTGTCTGCCAAAGATTTAATGTCCTGATGATCATTAACAACATATCAGCTCTCAGCTATTTGCTTGACAACATCCCAGGCAGCTACTTGGTGAGGATCGGAGTGATAAAGATTGAAGGTTAGAAAGCTTTTGTGTTGCACCAAAGCCTGGCTAATCTTTCACTCTGTCCAGGATCCATCGGGGGTCCTTGGAGGGTCCCAGGTTGCTTATTTGCACTCCCCCTAGTCAGATATTTTTAGGCTTCACCCTGCACCAACATCCATCTGGTCCCTGGATGTCAACTGTCCACATGTCAGGTTCCTATAGGACTTAGCTTGGTTGTGATTTAGTGCTTGTTATGACAACTGTGTGCCTGAAAACTCATTAGTATGTGCGTCACTAGTACACTTCCTTTTTGTTCAAACACAAATTGACCAATTGTGTTTGGAGTACTCACCCTGGGTTACCTGGAATACGTTTTGTTGTCCGACAACGGTGATCAAAGAATCAAAACACACGAAAAGTCTTGATGAACTGAAGCTTATAGGGGTTAATGTCTAATTAACATGCTCAGTACTTTGCTTTTGAGACATTCTGGGGGTCATTATAAGTACGTTTGTAGGAAATACAAATGTGTTGGGGAATTAATTAACTTAAGACTGCATGAATCTGAACTGTCCACATGTCAGGTTTCTATAGGACTCAGCTTGAATTGTGATTTAGTGATTCTTATGACAACTGTGTGCCTATAACTCATAAGTATGTGTGTCACTGGTACATTATCACCCTGGGTTACCTTGAATACTTGGAGCACATTTTCTTTGTCTGACAACAAAGATTCAACAAACAAGAAAAGTCTTGACGAAGTGAAGTTAATGGAGGTTAATGTGTTCAACATGCTCAGTGCTTTGCATTTATTACACTTTGGAGGGTCATAATTGGTAAAGTTGTAGGAAATAATGTATGTGTTGGGGAACAGATTAGCGTAAGAGTGCACAAATATTGGGAGGGTTTGAAAATGGATGTTGACAAAGTTTTCGTTAAGAATTCAAGAACTCTTTTTTTGCCATTGGCTTCTTGCTGCATTGCTGACATTAAACCTGCAGGTTCGACTCCAGTGTGCCCTATATTTGTAGCCACAGCAATGTTAATTTTACCCTTCATGGTGTGTGTTTGCATACGACCTGTATACCCTCATGGAAACAGACACCACCTGATGTAGTTTATGTGACGCTGTCGGTGTTGCATTGATATTGCTTGCGATGTTCAGCCTCCTGCTCAGAGTACAGAGAGTACAGTGGTCGCAGATAAAATCGGGGGGGCATGTGACTCAACTGGGCAACGCGACCCCTTGTGAGGTTTGCATACCAGAGCTCCTATAGGTCTGTACACAGAGGTTCTGGGGCTGTCCAGTAGAGTTCTTAGAACCGGGGGGCTCGCTTGGCTTCGAGCCAGCGTTCCATGGAGACAACAACATATATCACCACAGGGGAGGTAAAGAGGGGGATAAGGGGATTGAGACAGAAGTACAGAGAGAGGGGGACAAGCTTGAAAACATGCGGCTGTGAAATAAGAGAGGGGTTGCTCTCGGAGGAGCTAGCAAGGGTTGGCAGAAGGCAGTGCGCCAAGCTAAAGGGACTTGCTGTTGGAAAGGAGTTCTGCTTGGCTTGGTGACAGCGAGAGGAAAGACTGCGCTGCAAAAACTCAAAATCTTCCCCAGTATATTTGTCTAATATCTAGTCAGAATATGTCTTTACACTTGCTATAAGACATAATAATTTCAGTGCAGTGAGATATCGGGTGTTGTTTTTAGACAATGCATCATCTTGTTAAAGGTCCCATGACATGGCCATTTCTACTGATCATAATTCCATTGTTGAGGTCTACTAGAATAGATTTCCATTGTTCAATGTTCCAAACTCACATTGGTTTCTCACAGCATCTCTGTATAGTATGTGTATTCACTCTCTGTCCTAAACGGCTTGTTGGAGCTCCTGCCCCCCCTCCCTGTGAGCCCACGGTGCTCTGATTGGTCAGCTCGCCCACTCTGTTCTGATGAGTCCACCACCGTTACAGCGGGACATCAGTGATTATGTTTTACAATGGCGTTTGTTAGCAACCAGGAAATGACACCAGTAATGAGAAACAGATGAGAATGCTGCGTGGGGTCTGGGGGCCGTGTTGGCGGGACGTTGCGCGGCTCGCTGCTGCGAGGAGCGGACAGTGTGAGTTGGGTTCATTTCCCGCTTGCTGCGTGGGGTCAGCGAGACATCGCGAATGGACGCGGGAAGGGTGCTGAGGGGGCTGCAGCACCCCCATCTGCGAGGCTCCACTAGCACCTGCACCCAGCGCGTCACAGTTTCGCTGCAGAGAGTGTGTGTGTGAGGAGCTCCACGGATTGGTCCATTTGGACCAATGGGACCATTTGGGTATGGGCACGTCACCATACCCAGGAAGAAAAAGAGAAATCTCCAACGAGGCGTTCTGGGGCAGCACAGACAGGTCTTCTCTGTGTTAGAGTTTTACTCGCTACAGGGTGTACTTTGAGGGTGTGTGACTCTGCAGACCGTTTACATGCAAAAAGCTACATAACACAGGAGGACGGGTCATAACCGGAAAAGCATGACATGGGCCCTTTAAGTAAAATAATCTTATTTTGAGTTGTATCTCAGATGAAACACATATTGTTTTACATATTTATTGGAAAATCACCAACTGACATCAGAAAACAGAACACTTTTGAGCATTTGCAGCTTATTTTGTAACACAATATTTCCTGATTCTGGTCAAATATAGTTCAAAATATGTTTTCAACAACAAAATCTGATTTATCTAGATATCCCATCTTCAAGGAATCTTACCAAGCACATTTTCACTTGTTGTATTGGCAGATGTTTGTACTTATTCCAAGTGAAAACAGCTTGTTTTCATTATTATTTAACTTTTTTAAGTTTGAGGGAGTTTAACCCACAGTCTTTCTTTGAGTTGTTCTGCCACACCCACTGACACCCCCGTATCTGTCCCGTACAGCTGGATGCACAGTGGGAGCAGCGTAGTAAAACAGAAATGTAGCCAACTGTGTTTGTATGTAGCCTTGATGTCGGCTACTCCTCTATTTCCCTCTCCTCGTCTTTCTTCTCCCCGTCTCTGTTCTCTTTCTGAGTTAGCCTCGGCGAGTATTGATCAGATCTGGGCAGAATGGACTGTAAGTGCTGGGAGCCTTTGGGATTGTACCCATAGATAAGCACTTTTACTGAGGATAGATCAATGGCCTCGTCTTCGGCAAAAGCTTAAATCTGACCACAGTAGGGCCTCAACCTGCTCTCACTGCTTAAACTCTAATGGAGGCACAGCAGAGGGAGAACCTTTACTACAGTGACAAGCCCAGACACTCAGGGGTTACCGAGGGTCAGATCTAAAGCACTCATTTCCACATATCGTCTTATTCGCTCCCACTTTCATAACAATATCTCGACAACAAACTACGACTTTTGTAAGAAAGAGCTTTGCCCTCTTTCCTTTTATTATTGAATGCCAACTGGAAGATTCTTGCTCTCACACTGTGTCTGATTGAGCTCGTCACCATCAATCTGACAGCCAGTAGCTGAGAGAGAAGGACGATCTGCACATGGCGATAAAAGTACAACATGGCGATAAAAGTGCAACACTCACTGGTAGCATCACTAAGGGTCCTCCCCGCCAAACTGCTCAAACTCATTCACGTTTTAGTTTGCAGAGGGAATGCCATGCTGCCAAGATATTGTGAAGATCAACCATGTGCATTGACAGAAACGTTAGTATGTGTTTTAGGAGAGACAATACAAGGCAAGGTTTAGGCTATTTTGCTTCTAAAACACGTCTTCTTTCAGAAAAGTGCGAGGAAAATATCTCAAATACACATTTTAGTGTTTTAACTGCTATTACATGAACACAAAAACCATTCATCATCACCACATTTCATTTAACACCCTTTCAAACTGTACATATTGTATCAGACTACTGGTATACATGAAGAACTGCAATAAATATACAAAGAATAGACACTGAACATGTATTGCGTGTGCCAGGTGTGATCCATGTGGGGGAGGGGCACATAAGAGTGGGAAATGTGTCAAATTGTTCTGTGTGTGTGTGTGTGTGTGTGTGTGTTTGTGAGTGCCAGGTGTGATTCACATTGGGGGGATGGGCACATAAGGGGGGGAAACACATCTAGAGTGTGTGTGTGTGTGTGTGTGTGTGTGTGTGTTTTATCTGATCCGAATGGTTACTAATTCCTTTTCTTTATGGCGGTCATATCACCGGGAACACCATGGTGTTACAAAGTTGACTAAATGATCCAAAATGCAATGAAAGTGGTGATCAGCAATTGTATATGTTCAAATGTCTCCTGTGAAGGATATCATAAAGCCTTAATGCAATCGAATGAAAAACTAAAAGTTATGATTGATGAAAGTAGTAGATCGATCGGATTTGACCCAAAGACAACAGGAGGGTTCAAAACAAGGTCACATCCCAAATAGGATTCCTTTCTAGGTGACAGTGTACCGTTGTAAATCTGATAGGTCCTGTTTTAATATGGCAGTGTGTTCTTTATGTTGATGTCTTGTTACTCATATGACTTTTTGGCCGTTGCAGCACTGGACGGTGTTCAAGGAGGTGAACGAGGTGTTCATCCTGGTTCCTGCACTGCTGGGACTCAAAGGAAACCTGGAGATGACGCTGGCCTCCAGACTTTCAACAGCGGTGAGAAATTGGGAGTTACAATGAGCGGTTAATGACTGTTGACCACTCTTTCCCATTTGAATGTCATTTTCCAAAGAAAAGAGGGGTATTTTATTCAATCTTCAAAGTAGCGGTTAGTGACTGTCAACTTGACTTATTCCCCCCCCCCCAAAATGTTCCTTATTTTGACCATGTTAAGCCTCGAGTGAAAATCTGATTGACCATGTACATTTTTCTATACAATATAACAAATCATTAGCTATGCCTAGGCATGTTTTTGCACTCTTGTCCTGGTCTTATTGTCCAATGTAAGCATTTGGGAATGTGTTGTACCTGTCTCTCGTTGACCCCTTCCCCTTTGTTTGACCCTTCAAAGCTCATTGTCTTTGGGTGGAAGGTCATACTGTTAAAGTTGACCTGAGTTTCGGACAAACTAATAGCAACATTCCTGTCCCTTTATTTGGTTTGACCTTTTCAATGGCCTTGCAAAACATCAACACAGTTTTTATCTGAATGTGTTGTTCATCTGTAACATCCGCTGAGTAGCAAGAAATCATTAAACCAATATATATATATATTGTTTGTATCGATCTGAACTAGTAATTCAAATAGGAAAATATAAGATAAGATATACTTTATTGGTCGCAAAATGGGAAACATTTTCGTTGCAGCAACATGTAAAACAAAGTATTGCACATCATTAGATAATACAAATATACAATATAAACGTCTCTAAATAGAAATTAAAACTAAACTAAAAAAATAGTTGAAGTTGAACAAATCTGTAAATGATCTGACAAATAAAACACTATTGAAGTGCTAAATTACAGCTAACACAATATAAACGTAGGATATGATTTACATGTGTGCACGAATGGCATATTAAATAAAATAAAATGTACAGTAGCTTTGTGACTTTCATTCTGGCAGACGTTTTCTGTAGTTGATTTGAGACACTGACGGTCTAGGAAGGCATCATGGTTTTTATTTACATTTAAACAAAAATAAAACCATTGTCCAAGTAATGTGCAAAGATTCACAGTATGACGTTATTAGAACATGTCATGCACAGTACAGAGATATAATCCCAATATGTGTGTTTCTGCAGTATTCTGTGGTGTTTTATAGACAGATTGTAACTAGCATTTGAGTTACATGCTTCTTTGCTCAGGCCACAGGGTTTGATGCTAACGCTACGTCTATTGTCTGAGGCTCCACTGACACGCTCCATTGTTAGCTGACGGGTCATTGACCCAGCAGCGTCCATCAGAGGTTAGCAGCACTCTCTACAGTTGTGGAGGCAAAAAGGAATTAGCCTCACCAATCCTCACATTCTTTCCACTGGTGACGGGGATGATTAGCATTGCTAACAGCGGCACGGAGAGTCAGACACAATAACAAGACTTCAAATTAGTGTGCAGAGGTGGTAGAAGTACTCGGATCTTGTACCTGAGTAAAAGTAGAAGTACTCGGATCTTGTACCTGAGTAAAAGTAGAAGTATTCGGATCTTGTACCTGAGTAAAAGTAGAAGTATTCGGATCTTGTACCTGAGTAAAAGTAGAAGTATTCGGATCTTGTACCTGAGTAAAAGTAGAAGTATTCGGATCTTGTACCTGAGTAAAAGTAGAAGTACTCGGATCTTGTACTTGAGTAAAAGTAGAAGTACTCGGATCTTGTACCTGAGTAAAAGTAGAAGTATTCGGATCTTGTACCTGAGTAAAAGTAGAAGTATTCGGATCTTGTACCTGAGTAAAAGTAGAAGTACTCGGATCTTGTACCTGAGTAAAAGTAGAAGTACTCGGATCTTGTACCTGAGTAAAAGTAGAAGTATTCGAATCTTGTACCTGAGTAAAAGTAGAAGTACTCGGATCTTGTACTTGAGTAAAAGTAGAAGTACTCGGATCTTGTACCTGAGTAAAAGTAGAAGTATTCGGATCTTGTACCTGAGTAAAAGTAGAAGTATTCGGATCTTGTACCTGAGTAAAAGTAGAAGTACTCGGATCTTGTACCTGAGTAAAAGTAGAAGTATTCGGATCTTGTACCTGAGTAAAAGTAGAAGTATTCGGATCTTGTACCTGAGTAAAAGTAGAAGTACTCGGATCTTGTACTTGAGTAAAAGTAGAAGTACTCGGATCTTGTACCTGAGTAAAAGTAGAAGTATTCGGATCTTGTACCTGAGTAAAAGTAGAAGTATTCGGATCTTGTACCTGAGTAAAAGTAGAAGTACTCGGATCTTGTACCTGAGTAAAAGTAGAAGTATTCGGATCTTGTACCTGAGTAAAAGTAGAAGTACTCGGATCTTGTACCTGAGTAAAAGTAGAAGTACTCGGATCTTGTACTTGAGTAAAAGTAGAAGTACTCGGATCTTGTACCTGAGTAAAAGTAGAAGTACTCGGATCTTGTACCTGAGTAAAAGTAGAAGTACTCGGATCTTGTACCTGAGTAAAAGTAGAAGTACTCGGATCTTGTACCTGAGTAAAAGTAGAAGTACTCAGATCTTGTACTTGAGTAAAAGTAGAAGTACTCGGATCTTGTACCTGAGTAAAAGTAGAAGTACTCGGATCTTGAACTTGAGTAAAAGTAGAAGTACTCGGATCTTGTACTTGAGTAAAAGTAGAAGTACTCAGATCTTGTACCTGAGTAAAAGTAGAAGTACTCGGATCTTGTACTTGAGTAAAAGTAGAAGTACTCGGATCTTGTACCTGAGTAAAAGTAGAAGTACTCAGATCTTGAACTTGAGTAAAAGTAGAAGTACTCAGATCTTGAACTTGAGTAAAAGTAGAAGTACTCGGATCTTGTACCTGAGTAAAAGTAGAAGTACTCGGATCTTGTACCTGAGTAAAAGTAGAAGTACTCGGATCTTGTACCTGAGTAAAAGTAGAAGTACTCGGATCTTGTACTTGAGTAAAAGTAGAAGTACTCAGATCTTGTACCTGAGTAAAAGTAGAAGTACTCAGATCTTGTACCTGAGTAAAAGTAGAAGTACTCAGATCTTGTACCTGAGTAAAAGTAGAAGTACTCAGATCTTGTACCTGAGTAAAAGTAGAAGTACTCGGATCTTGTACCTGAGTAAAAGTAGAAGTACTCGGATCTTGTACCTGAGTAAAAGTAGAAGTACGCAGATCTTGTACCTGAGTAAAAGTAGAAGTACTCGGATCTTGTACCTGAGTAAAAGTAGAAGTACTCAGATCTTGAACTTGAGTAAAAGTAGAAGTACTCAGATCTTGAACTTGAGTAAAAGTAGAAGTACTCGGATCTTGTACCTGAGTAAAAGTAGAAGTACTCGGATCTTGTACCTGAGTAAAAGTAGAAGTACTCAGATCTTGTACCTGAGTAAAAGTAGAAGTACTCGGATCTTGTACCTGAGTAAAAGTAGAAGTACTCGGATCTTGTACTTGAGTAAAAGTAGAAGTACTCAGATCTTGTACCTGAGTAAAAGTAGAAGTACTCAGATCTTGTACCTGAGTAAAAGTAGAAGTACTCGGATCTTGTACCTGAGTAAAAGTAGAAGTACTCGGATCTTGAACTTGAGTAAAAGTAGAAGTACTCGGATCTTGTACTTGAGTAAAAGTAGAAGTACTCAGATCTTGTACCTGAGTAAAAGTAGAAGTACTCGGATCTTGTACTTGAGTAAAAGTAGAAGTACTCGGATCTTGTACCTGAGTAAAAGTAGAAGTACTCAGATCTTGAACTTGAGTAAAAGTAGAAGTACTCAGATCTTGAACTTGAGTAAAAGTAGAAGTACTCGGATCTTGTACCTGAGTAAAAGTAGAAGTACTCGGATCTTGTACCTGAGTAAAAGTAGAAGTACTCGGATCTTGTACCTGAGTAAAAGTAGAAGTACTCGGATCTTGTACTTGAGTAAAAGTAGAAGTACTCGGATCTTGTACCTGAGTAAAAGTAGAAGTACTCAGATCTTGTACCTGAGTAAAAGTAGAAGTACTCGGATCTTGTACCTGAGTAAAAGTAGAAGTACTCGGATCTTGTACTTGAGTAAAAGTAGAAGTACTCGGATCTTGAACTTGAATAAAAGTAGAAGTACTCGGATCTTGTACCTGAGTAAAAGTAGAAGTACTCGGATCTTGAACTTGAGTAAAAGTAAAAGTACTCAGATCTTGTACCTGAGTAAAAGTAGAAGTACTCAGATCTTGTACCTGAGTAAAAGTAGAAGTACTCGGATCTTGTACCTGAGTAAAAGTAGAAGTACTCAGATCTTGAACTTGAGTAAAAGTAGAAGTACTCAGATCTTAAACTTGAGTAAAAGTAGAAGTACTCAGATCTTGTACCTGAGTAAAAGTAGAAGTACTCAGATCTTGTACCTGAGTAAAAGTAGAAGTACTCGGATCTTGTACCTGAGTAAAAGTAGAAGTACTCAGATCTTGTACCTGAGTAAAAGTAGAAGTACTCAGATCTTGAACTTGAGTAAAAGTAGAAGTACTCAGATCTTGAACTTGAGTAAAAGTAGAAGTACTCAGATCTTGTACCTGAGTAAAAGTAGAAGTACTCAGATCTTGTACCTGAGTAAAAGTAGAAGTACTCGGATCTTGTACCTGAGTAAAAGTAGAAGTACTCAGATCTTGAACTTGAGTAAAAGTAGAAGTACTCAGATCTTGTACCTGAGTAAAAGTAGAAGTACTCAGATCTTGTACCTGAGTAAAAGTAGAAGTACTCAGATCTTGAACTTGAGTAAAAGTAGAAGTACTCAGATCTTGTACCTGAGTAAAAGTAGAAGTACTCAGATATTGTACCTGAGTAAAAGTAGAAGTACTCAGATCTTGTACTTGAGTAAAAGTAGAAGTACTCAGATCTTGTACTTGAGTAAAAGTAGAAGTACCCAGATCTTGTACTTGAGTAAAAGTAGAAGTACTCAGATCTTGTACCTGAGTAAAAGTAGAAGTACTCAGATCTTGTACCTGAGTAAAAGTAGAAGTACTCAGATCTTGTACCTGAGTAAAAGTAGAAGTACTCGGATCTTGTACCTGAGTAAAAGTAGAAGTACGCAGATCTTGTACCTGAGTAA